ACCTGAAGAGCTTACAAGTAAGTGGATTTTTAAAGCAAAATAACAACAACAAAATTATATATTTACTCAGAATATCAATATCCATGTAGTTTAACACATAACGTTGACACTAATAGTTTACATAAAAAAAGAAAACCTTCCTCTTCCTCTACAGGCCTCTGTATCTGTGGACTAGACTCCAACCAAGTCCAGAAGGAGCCAGAAGCCTCTGGAATGTTACTGAGTGTCCGGGAAAATGAGCCCCACAAGTTACAAAGCATAAAATCACATGGCTTCATGACAGAGGTGGGGTCCCTGCAGGCTGTGAGGGGCAGTATTTTCAATTCAGGGACATTGCTGTTGGTTCTATTAAATTTCAGAGCAAGAAGAACTTCCAGTATTCAGAAAATAACGTGGGCAGCTGGGTGAGGGCTCTCTCTGCATTGCTCATTTTGACCCTCAGTATATCATATTTCCGCCTCGGAAACAGACTCATAAATAATGGGGTAGGTTCTTCTGCTTTACTTTCCCGTATGGATAACTATGTTTACATTTTCTTAGCTTTCTTTGAACAGGCCTCAGAAATGAAGCTATCTAGAATAAATTTTCTACAGTTGTGACATTTTCTGGGTTTCTGACAAGCAACTTCCTATTTGGGGTATGTGCTTTTTATTATTAGATATTAAGTATGAAGCCAGAGTGAACCACATACCATATGTAGCTAGTGCCAGCCACTGTGCACATGTTAGCTCCTCGAATCTTCCCAACATCCTTGCTATCTACATCCCATTTTACAGAGAGCAAAACAGGCTCAGATGAGGCTCAATTTGCTCAAAGTTCTGCTGGTTGTAAGAGACCCAAGATCATTCTAAGTAAGCTGGGTCCACAGCCTGTGATCTCAGCCACTTCGTCCCATAATGCAGTTCTTAGATCCTTCTTTGGTGAGAGTCTCATGGTAACGAGCTTCGTATACTTCCCCCCCCAACTCCGTAATAGCAAAGCTCCCCTCACCTGGGAAATAATGGACTTCCAAGAGCTGGCTGAGGAAGGTCCAAGTTCTCTTAACACGCATAACCCCTCATCCCACTTCGATTCATTCACACTCAGTTCATTAATTCCCAAGGACGTAGATGCCCCTGATGAATCCAGGTGTCCCTGGAGCATATCTCTGGGTCCTGACTGCACGCCAGCCATCCTTCTCTTATGACTACATCGAAGTCTTCCATTTTCTATTTGGATAATTTTCAGAAGTTAAAAGATCTTCCTTTGTTTTCAAAGTTTCATGTGCCTTTTGTCAGAGGTTGTAACAAAACAGGATACTGGACATGCTCCTTGAAAAGGCTTGTCTTGTGTTATCATATCAACTTAATATCATCCCTAAATCTATCTCTGTAAATGAATTACACAAAAGAAGCACAGCCCCTTTGAAGAAAACAGCTGGAGTGCTGCGTGGCCTCTGAAACGGTGGGTGAGCAGAGCAATCTGTATTTATCGCCTCTGAGTCCTAGTTCTTTAATTTAGGAACTGGGAGCAATGACACCCATCTTTGGGGGGGTCGTCATGAGCATTAAATGAGACAGTCCACTGAAAACTGCCTAGTGCAGCACTGAGCAGACAATCCAGTAGACACAATTAACCTTAGTTCCCTTTTCCTTACTTTACAGTAGATTTCTTTTTAGCAAGTCTTATGTAACACTTGTTATAGAAAGCAATGTACATAAAAGATTTAGTCTGAGGACTGATACATAGTAAACCCTCAGCGAATGCCACGATTATCTCAGAATCCCATCCCTATTTTTAAAGTCCCATGCAAAGCAACAGGAAGCATTGTGGGGGCCAATAATTGTGCTCAATGTGTCAAAAAAATATGTCGTAGATGCCATTACAGAATTCAGAAATCATATTTCACCTGCTACCTGAGCATAAAATACAGGGTCACCACTGGGGCACATTGTTGGATCTACCTATCAACCTCTGCTTTGGGGAGATGTTGGCAGCTGGGGATGATACCATCTGTAGATTAGGGATAATGCATTGGATTTAAATCCTGATTGCTTTGCCCATATAGTTTTAGAACCTTGTGTAAACCCTTTAGACTCAGGTCTATGGTGTTGCCATCCAAATGGAGACCTCTGGGCTCAGTCACAGCCAAACGCACCTTTCCCTCTAAAGATGCTAACTTCACAGCAGCCTGGGAAGAATCTTGTTATTGCAAGAGCCTTGCGTGCTTCTTTGGTCTATGTATTTTGCTAGCTATTGCATGATATATTTTGGAACAGCGACTCATCGTATGATATGGTATGCTGGTAACCGTGTACCTGCAAAGGGTGAGTGGCATTCATGCACAAATGAAGCCCAGGTAGATTCTTAAGACTGTGGGAGCCTAGGTAAGCAACATGACAAGTTATATGGAATATATACTATATTATTCAAACCACTGTAGATATGTCGATTTAGAACTTGCTCGAGCATTTCAAATCTCTTAAACTGAGAGCAACGTTTTCCATTACATCTATGTAAACAAACAGAACATTCATCGATATGTTAGTCGACTGCCCTGTTCTCCTGGACACAGAAATCCATAAATATTTTTAAATAGGGCCCTTTCAGATAGATCTTTAAGTGGCTAAGTGTCTGGGAAGGTTCTGGGGGTCCCATCACCAACTTAAATTCTGGAGAACAGAGGATCTAAGCTGCAAATGGCAGCCTCTGCATGAAGTTTGACTGGACCANTGACACACTGTATGTGCCTCTCTGTCCTTGCACACGTTAGGTACTTCTTTGTGAAATGTCCACCATGATAAGAAGGGATGCCTTTCCTTGGTCTGACTAGAGGTTGGCTGATAGGCTGCCAGGAGCTTCACATCTGCTTTATGTGAACCTCTCACGTGCAATGGCTGATAGGCTGCCAGGAGCTTCACATCTGCTTTATGTGAACCTCTCACGTGCAAACATTTCAGCATGTCTGGGGACAGGGAGCTGGGACGCCATCATTTCCAAGAACAGGCTGTGCCACCGTCTAGGGCGTCTACCTAAATTTGCTCTGAGGCTTGCTTTCATTCTCAGGAACCACCTCATGGCAAGGTCATAAGGGAGGGACCCACAGCACTCACTTCTAACCAGTGGGGGTCCCTGACACTGTGAAAAGGAAGAGACTGTGGTGAAGAGGCAAATGCACCACACCAGCATACAGCGAATGGACTGAACCCTAGTCGTAAGGGACTATCAGTCCACATATTCCACATTTGATGGGGATGTTTCCCTCAAACAAGCCACTAGTCCTGCTCACATTAGCAATGTTTTTCCTAATCTAATGAGGAACCTAGGGATAGGAGTAGGTTGTGATCTGTAATCTACTTAAAGTTTAAAATCTCCTTCCATAGAGCACGTGTTTTGAAGTGGTAGGCGTCCCTGTCTCTTCCCGCCTTTCTCTTGAAATGGGAAAGTAAATATTAGGACAGCTTTCCCAACCTCCTCCACAGTCTGAGTTTACACACGAATGTATGGCTGGGTGTCGGGAGCCACGCACCTGGAACAGTTGGCGATCTCCATGCGGGGGCCCTCGCACCACCAGCCGCCACACTGGGGGGCCGGGCTGTCACAGGAGCGGCTGCGACACAGGCAGGTTCCCACGGCGCTGCCATCTGTGTGCGTGCAGGGTGTCCACGGGGACCATGCACCGAAGTGCCCATCCACAGTGAGATTCCTCGTCTGGGAAGCAGGTAAAGGAAGGATGTCAGCAAGGGTTAAGGCTGTCGACATTGAGAAATAATGAAAGGTCTCTCATAAGGCAATCGGAACACATGTAGAATATTTTATACCCAGTAAAAAGGATGAACAGTGAAGTATTTCAGAATAAAGCAGCAGCGGTCATGGGTGGAGATAATGATGGAGGTGGTGGGGCGAGGGGGACAGGAGGAGTTAGAAGAGGAGACGAAGCAGGCGGAGGAGGAAACGGAGAAAGAAGAAGAGTAAGGGAGAGGAGTGAAGGGTGCTAATAGCTTGATGATCACATCATGGCAAAATCGGCCACGAACGCGAGAAACCCAAGGAACAAGAAGAATTGAAGTGAAAATCACAGACATATAATTCTGTTGCATTTTATGTTTTCATTTAAAAAAAAA